CTGAGTGCTTCTGCTGCTTCCCTGCCGTCTTCTGCCCACCCTGCAGTTGCCCCTGCCCCAATATCAGCCCTACAGTGGGTGCACACCACCTGCCACATTCCGGCTTACTTCTAGGAGAGCCTTGATCACCAGCTTAATGGTCAGGTCAGCGGAGTCCATGGCGTCCTCGGTGTAGTTTTTCTCCAGGAATTCACGCACTGACTTGGCGCCCCGGCCTATGGCGTTGGCCTGGAACAGAGAGCCTGTCAGAGAACCCTGGCGGCCCACGTGGGCTGGCCAGCTCTGCTGCCTTTCAGGGGACTGCCAAGAGGCAGCGCCAGGCCCCATACTGTCCCCTGCATAAAACTGGGTTCCTTGTAGAAGGCTTGGGTAGTGGGTGCTGTCTTTTTTTTTTTTTTTGGGGGGGGGGGGGGTTTGCACGTGCACTCACCACAGAGACAGAAAGCGAGAAATCACCCCTCAGGGGGGATGTCCACACAACAGTCCCACCTCCCATCTCCTCCAGTCTCCTCTCGGGATCTTGGGCATGCATGCACATGCACCCGGTGTGAGTTCAAGCCACCCGGTCCAGGACTTAAACCGTGGTCGACTACTTGGGAGTCCAGCAACATAGCCATTACACTAACTGCTGGTCTCAGTGCTAAGTCTCACCAAGAATACGACCTACTAAAAAATAATTCTAATGAAGACTTGTGTGTGTGTGTGTGTGTGAGTTTTTTTTTGTTTTTTGGGTTTTTTTTTTTTGGAGGGGGCAGTTTTGCTGTAGGGAGCATAACTACACCACAATCCCTTCTCCATTCTCTTCTTGGGATTTTGGGCACATGTGTACACACCAGTACGTTTTTCAAGCCACCTGGTCCAGGACTCGAACTGGGCAGTCAGCCGTGTAGGACCAGACCAGCATGTCACCAGCTGGCCCCATGCTGTGTCCTCTTACACCTTGCTGCCCTCTGATTTTCTCCCCAAGGCAATGTTTAATGCTTTCTTCATTTCACATCAGAAACATCTTAAGACAAGCAGGTGCTACGTGCAGGGGGGCCAGGCGGACTTACGCGGGCACCTTACAGAGGTGGGGCCCTGTTCCTCCTGGCAGCTCCCAGAGGCTCTGTTGTCAGGACTCACCTTCCAGGCGTGGTATGTCCCCGAGGGGTCAGTCTGATATAGCCTGGGGGTGCCGTCGAAGTCGAAGCCCACAATCAGGGCAGAGATGCCGAATGGCCTACGCCCGTTGCTCTGCGTGTACCGCTGCGAAGAAGCAGGCGCTGCTGTCAACCTGAGAGGCACACGGCCCCCAAGACAGCGGCTTCGGGGAGGCGCACAAACGTTTACAACCCCTAGGCCCACTCTTGGGAGTACTTGGAAAACTGGACAAACTGGACTAGTCAGCAGCTCGCGTGTCACCCACCCCTGCACCATCACTCCAGGACTCGCTGAGCTAGAACCGCCTTGGGCAGGACCCGGCAGGCAGGCGCTGGCAGCCTCACACTGGCTGAGGCAGCAGCCAGCCAGAGCAGGTGTCTCGTCCTCTCCCACTGGCTTGCCGACTGGTCACTCAATGGCAACACTGACACTACACGGAATCTCACTGCTTCCAGAAATGTGGACCCCATGGCACCTCCAAACCTGACCAGTCCCACACTGAGTGTGGTCAAGTCCCACACTGAGTGTGGTCAGGGTGCTGCCAGGGGGTGGGAGGGCAGTGGCCTTGGGTGGGCCTGGTGCTGCAGACGCGCCCACACCCACCTGCTTGAGGCTGGCCACATAGCGTGTGATGTACTCCACAGTGACTGGGTCTTCCACCGTCAGCCGGTGGCTCTGGCACTCGACCCGCGCCCGGTTGATGACAATCCTGGCGTCGGCTGTAAGGCCTGCAGTGAGAGCCAGTGGATGGCGGCTCAGGCCACGGGGCAGGCCCACCCTCTGGCAGGTCCCACACTGGTCTCTGGACCCAGCACCGAGACCGTTCCAACTAGACGACAGTGCAACCCACGGGCCTTTGAGCCCCTGTCGAAGCAGCATGTGGAACCCGTGCCAGCCCACATCTGGTGGACGGCTGCGTCCCCTCAGGAATTCATGGGTAGGGTCCCCCTGCTTTCCCACCATGTGAACTGAGCCTGAGCCGGGGCGGCGGGGTCCCGTCCTGCTCCCACGCTCCTTGGCACACAGCTAGCCCGAGGAGCCAGGCTGCCTCCTGACTGCCTGCCTGATGCTGATGGCTCACAGCAGGGGCCAGACAGCGGCTGGGCTGTCCGGGAAGGGTTTCCGGTTCTCTTAGCCACCTGCGTCTCAGCCCCTGGGGAGGAGGAGCGCCAGAGGAGCCCGTGGCCAACATGTCAAAGTCCAAATTCATTCTTCACATGGTTTGTCTACCCCACCTACACGCTTCCCAGCAGCCTGTTGGCCCAGCGTCACGTCTGCAGCTGCTGTCTGCTGGGACTCCTACCTGCAAAGGCCATGCAGACGTTGTCGTCCAGAGCACAGATCTTCCGCACGGTTCGCTCATCCTGCAGTTTGGCCACGGACTTCTTCTCCACCCCCAGGACAACGATGTCTCTTCCTCGAACACCAACCTTCAGGAAAAACGCATAGGCCGCATTCAGAAGTGGCATGAGCATCTGCCACCAGGCCCAGGAGGCTAAGAACAGATACAAGGGACCCAGGGCACTCGGTACAGCAGCCCCCACACCCTCAAACCAGGATTGTTAATCCACTCTTGGCCTGGTGCCCAGTCCCGTGCCTTTCAAAGTGCAGTTACACCTGGGTAAGGTTTACACTGCCATCGGGCCTCACTGCACCCCGGCGAGCCAGAAGTCCCACGCAAGGCCCCAGCATTCAGGAGCCGGCCTGCAGGTGGGAACCCACCAGGCCCCTGCCACGTGCTGGCATGCACAGCTGGGCAAGGCGGACTTGCCACCAGTGGACAGCTCACGGAGGAGCCGCCTGCTGCCCACTGACGGCTGGAGGGGGAGCCGGCAGAGGGCGTGGGCATTACTAAGACCGGGAGCACCACTGGT